TGATGTTGTCGTCATGGATACCAGACCATAATGCAGTAAATAAATAAGGTTTATGCGAGCTCACTGTCGGGTACAGTGTGATGTACTGTGCGTCACTCTGCTATTTTAGTGCAGACTGCCTGATCTCTTGAGGAAACGCAAGTATTTTACGTTTTGTCAGTTTAGTGGCTAATTCGTACGAGTTCAGTCATACGAAAATACGTACGATTTAAAAAAGGAGGCGTGGCACCTAACCCCAACCGCCATAGGGTGAGGAGCAAGTCGTACTGAATTATACGAATTAGATCATACGAATTCAAACAAACTAGCCCCTAAATCTAAAAGTTACGAATTGTCGTGAGATTGCGTTGGATTTTACTCGTATTTATATGTAGTATTTAATTTCAAGTAGCCTAAATAAATTTAATTAGGGTGAAGCAGTAGGTACTGCTGTCGCCTCACAGCAAGAAGGTCGCTGATTTGAGTCCCGGCTGGGTCAGTTGGTGTGTCTATGTGGAGTTTGCATGTTCTCCTTGTGTTGGTGTGGGTTTCCTCCGGGTGCTCTGGTTTCCCCCACAGTCCAAACACATGCGCTATAGGGGAATTGATGGACTAAATTGGCTGTAGTGTATGAGTGTGAATGAGTGTGTATGGGTGTTTCCCAGTGATGGAAGGGCATCCGCTGCATAAAACATATGCTGGAATAGTTGGTGGTTCATTCCGCTGTGGCACCCCCGGATTAATAAAGGGACTGAGCTTACATATGATCAACTAGAAGTCAAGTTATTATTTGCTGCTCTCACAACTTAGATCCACCGCAAGACTTTCGTCAGGAAGTGTATGTGTGGTTGGTTTATGTATGTGTGTGTGTGCGTCAGTCATTGCATTCTCTCGGTGTGTTTTATAATCAAATTTGTAACCTATTTCCATGTACTGTACGTGCAGCATTTCATCACAGCGATTATCGCCATCAGATTTAAATGAGGTGACTGAACTCAGCCAATGACTAATTACGCTCCATCGCCTCATTTGCATATGCATGAGCTCATTATTCCCACAGGTCCAGAGAAAGGCATGATGTTCCTCAAAGTTATTTATCAGATTGTTCTTTTGTGCACAAACAATAAGCAGCGGCGGGATTAGATTAGTGTGTGTGTCGCTCTGAATGCTGAGCAGGTATTTCCGCTGTTTACTTCAGAGCCGCCTTGAATGTTAGATTCCTCATTTTACTGCTCTGACCTTCTGCTTTCTGCTGTTCTTTACACCTTCAGCTGCTGACAAACACACACACACGTCTCAACTCCTTTACCTCACTCATGTGTGCAATATTTATCATTCATTTTCCTTCAGAACATGCAAACTCCACACAGTAACACCAACTGACTCAAACCAATGACCTTGCTGTTACGCCACAGTGCGACACCACTGAACCACCGTGTCGCCATCATATTCATTCATTCAATTTCCTTTAATGTATTTCAGCTTAGTACCTTATTTATCAGAGGTCACCGCAGCGGAATGAACCGCCAACTCATCTAGCATATGTTTTACACAGCAGATGCCTTTCCAGCTGCAACCCAGTACTGGGAAATACACAATAAACAATTAATCAAAATACATTAGCTAAACTCTGAGTACACCTTTCAGCATACATATCTGACACTTTGCTACAACAAGCAGGAAGGGGAGTCATCGAGATCTACAGGAGCTCAAACTCCCCTCTCGCCTAGCAATGGGAGGGAGCCCAGGGCTCGAGGATCTTATAAGCTCAGGGCTCTCTCCCAGGACAGCACGCCAAACTAGCTTTATTACCAATCATCAGCTAAGTGTGAACTCTTGAAAGCCAATTTAGTTCATCAATTCCCCTATAGCGCATGTGTTTGGAGTGTGGGGGAAACCGGAGCACTCGGAGGAAACCCACGCCAACACGGAGAGAACATGCAAACTCCACACAGAAACGCCATCTGACTCAGCCAAGGTTCAAACCAGCGCCCAAAAATACCCCAAAATGTACTCTTCCTCAAGCCATCATCCTTCAGACACACATGCAGTTT